TACTATTAGGACTACCCTCAATTGTAGGACCATAGTACCCAAGTGTAGTCTTTCATCTTCAAGACCAGCCTCACAACCTAGATTCATACAACACAAAAAAGAGGCCTTTTGGTTCTACAGGTTCCTCTCAATTGTGTATGACCATATAATCAACCCTGGTCATTGGACTGAGGATATGAGAGATGATGCACTTGAACCAGCTGATTTGAATGATAGGAACATGTTAGTTGTTGATGTTGGTGGTGGTACTGGTTTTACTACTTTGGGTATTGTTAAACATGTTGATGCAAAGAATGTTACCATTCTTGACCAGTCACCTCATCAGCTTGCTAAAGCTAAGCAAAAGGAACCGCTTAAGGATTGTAAAATTGTTGAAGGGGATGCTGAAGATCTTCCCTTTAGAACTGATTATGCTGATAGATATGTATCCGCAGGAAGGTACGTATCTACCTTATCCTTCATATTATTTCAGTAATCGATTGTATGTTTTAATTGATTGATTTTTTTGCCTAGATGTGCATGCTGAAAGCAATTGTAATAGAAAATCACTTTTATATAGTAAGTTACTAAAAAGTGTATGAAGTTGTTTGTTTGTATTAATAATATTCGGAGCATAGTTAGTTCTGCCGGGTCTGTATGAGAAAATGTGTTTGGTTTGAAAATAATGAAACAACTTTTTCCAAACAAGCTTAAAAGTTCTAGCTTCTCTAGAAACAGTTTTTTCATGCTTAAATGAAGATTGCCATACATATCCGACTGAGCCCAAAACAGCATTTTAATAAAAGCTGATCTCTTAGAAAATAATCTTTCTGAAATACCCACTCTATGCTGTTTCATTTGTCCTTAAATAATAGAATATGCTCAACTTGTATAAGAATGATTATCGTTGTTGATGATAAGTTTGCATTTAGCATGATTTAGCTGCATTGTTTTTATTTATGCATTTAGAAGTTACTCAGTGATGATATTCATGGTTGTAAAGTTGCTTGTCTTTAAAGAGATGATGATAATATGCTCTCTTTTCTCAGTATTGAATACTGGCCAGATCCACAGCGTGGCATCAAGGAAGCATACAGGGTTTTGAAAATTGGAGGCAAAGCATGCTTAATTGGTCCGGTCTACCCAACATTTTGGTTGTCACGTTTCTTTGCAGATGTTTGGATGCTTTTCCCTAAGGAGGAAGAGTACATTGAGTGGTTTGAGAAGGCAGGGTTTAAGAATGTCCAGCTGAAAAGGATTGGACCAAAGTGGTATCGTGGGGTTCGCCGTCATGGCTTGATTATGGGTTGCTCAGTGACTGGTGTTAAACCTGCATCTGGAGATTCTCCTTTGCAGGTATTTGTCATCCTAGTTCCTCAATCTAGATTCTTATTGATCGTTGCCCTTGTTTTCTTGTTGCAATTTATTGTTGTTTTATTTGTATTTGAATCAAAGGCAGTTTTTTAATGTCCGTATGCCTTCCTTGTTGGTACTTGTCTGTTTGTGTGATGGTATATCCCACCATTTTATGATTTACTGACCATAAAAAATTATACAGTAACCTGGACAGTGAAAAACAATATAACATGTTTAAACAATATAGTTTATAGGTGATAATGAATGTGTTTAACCTTCTGTCTGTTTCCACTGTGAATGGCAACATATTTGACATATATGCAGGCTGTTATGCGCTTATGCTTAGATGATGACCGGTCATATCCATATGGTCGAGAAAGATTATAGATTGGGAAAAGGTTAACTCTTGATAAGTGTTAATGAGCTTGATGAAAAGTCCAAAATAAAATGACTATGCTCTTTGCATGATGAACTAGCTAACTATTGTGGTTGATTTTACTGGTTACTTTCATTCTATTGTACATGTGTGGCTAGTTCAAGATTGCTTTCTTTTAATGAAGGTTCTCATCACCTTAATAATTCGAAGCTGAATAACACTACAGTTTTTTGTTTTACAAACTTATTGTAATAGGCAGAGAATTGTACTGGACTTCTTCAATTGAATGTTATCTTTAGTTTTTCTTTCAATCAATGATATGAACACATTGGTTTTAGAGTCTGGATTTTCAATAAAGCACTACAATTTTCACCTTTTGCTTACCACTGTTGCCAAATATGACAGATTTCTTGCTTAACTACAAAATCTCTATAATCATCTTATGATATTAAAGTGATAGGATCTAAGGGTTTTATTGAATATAGTAGTTGTTCTCAAAGAAGACACATTATCTGTGTCTTGGATTTGCTGAATGGCGCTATATCAATATTTTTTTGTTGATCAATTCACAAGAGGGAGTAGTGTGTAAAATATGCTGACTGTTTTTGGTTTCTACTATTTGCTGCAGCTTGGTCCAAAGGAAGAAGATGTTGAAAAGCCAGTAAATCCTCTTGTCTTCTTACTGCGCTTCGCTTTGGGTGCATTGGCAGCTACATGGTTTGTACTGGTTCCTATTTACATGTGGCTCAAAGATCAAGTTATTCCCAAGGGTCAGCCAATATGAGAGATATTGGGTATTACACCTTTTGATACTAATACTATCACGCAGTGTCATATTCAATTTTTTTTCAAATGCAAGATTTTCACCTCCGGAATTTAGAAACATTTTGTCACTCCTCACAATTACTTTGTTAATTAGTTAATCTCCTCACTTTTTTCTGCATGCTTTTTCAATCCATATCAATTTGTGTGGGAGTGCCTATTCAACACTGTTTCATAAGTCCACTTGTCATTTTAATTTGTCCATTACTCATGCTATTAGAGGTCAACATTTCAACATTGCTTCATGTCATAAATTCTAAAAGATGTTTAAAAACAGTGGTTATTATAACTCACCTTCCCATTTCCCTCAAATGCTATTATCCACCTAGACTGAGATTTTATCACTTTTTCTATAGTAAGAGCTATGCCATTGTCATCTCTAATGTGCGTATTCTTAATCTTATTTTGTTCGTTAAAATGGCAACCCATTCGTCATTAAGGATATGTTGTATGCAGTGTTAACTTATAATTGGGATGTGGGACATGAAACAAGCCACATTGAAAGTTTTCCAAATTCAATAGATGATCTCAAACACTCTTCTGCAAAAATTTCCTGCATTTTGAATTGAAAGTTCTCCACAAAAGGGTGTTTTCACCTTTTCAACAAATGATAAAAAGTGGGCCATCTAACTCAGTTAGGCATCTATAAAAGCAAAACGAAGCAGGGTTCAAGATGGAAAGAATCCTCTCTTCAATAAGGCGAAAATTTTTTATTGGTTTTGCAAATTATATTTGAGGATAAATATATCATCATTTTATTTAAAGGGTAAAAGTGTCCTATAATTCTATTTTTCATGTTTTTTTATACTCCACTCTCCATTACTAAGAGAGGATCTTAACCCGGTTCAAGATAGAGATATAGCACCAATAAAAAAGTTGTTCTTTTTCACCCCTTGTCTCTGAACAAGCAATTTATCCTCTATTAGATTTTACCTAAGTTTCCACTTCAGCTGAGCCAACAGCAGCAAAAAAATGGGATATGCATTAAAAGATCAGATTGCTGAGTGGGGCGAAATCAGATTTTGCTTACCCTATCTGGGATGAAAAAGCTAACCTAATGTTAACATTTTAATTAATAATAGTGACAAACATTCCAATCTCACTCTTGACCAAGGTAATAATATCAAGAGAATTTGGATGACAAATAATGTTCACATGCTCAAGGTAAACATGCATTAACAAGGTAATGTTTTTTACACGAGTGATCATCCACAATGTAGGATATGATTTTTACTTGAAACTTAACATTCAGAGATTAGCAGGCCAAAGTTTTGGAAGTCTCCATCCATGGAGATCAACAACTTCATTTGCCTGATGCTGTAGGTGTTTGTTATCATATGCCTTAGTCCTGTTTGGTTATAACAAATAAAAGCTTTAACTATCATTCTCCTAACTTTAATTATAAGATTTTATTAACATTAAAATTAAAACTCTTATAAGTATATATATTTATTATTTTCCTGACAAAAAAATATATTTATTAAAAAACTCTTAAAAGTATACAAAACCTAGTTTTCTATTTTTAATTTTTTGTGTTGAATTTCTATAAGCTAACGAGCACAGCTTTTTAGATCCCTTATCCAGTATCCACTATCACAGATCTGCAAATAGAACCATATAATATAAAACCCTATAGTTGAGTAACAACAATTGTCATATACGAAAAGATAGTGCTAACGTTCCTACATTTTCTATACACATTGTTTAGTTTTTGAATCTAATATCTATATAGTATAAATATTAAACACTTTATTATATGATGAATAAACATGAATGTTGTATGCTGAAATGATAGTATATAAAATTCAAACAGTACATATATTTTTTTCTCTTAGTTTTTTACCAGAAAAAAAGTGTCAAAGTGTCTGTCAAAATTGTAGCATCCTTAACCAAACCCTTTATCTCACTTTCAGTGATGCATTATTACCTATTAATGCAAAGAATAGATTATGAAATGAAAGAGTATATTTGGTGCATGATATTAATTTTTTCCTCAAAGAATGTAACCAATCCATACACTTGCACCCCATTTTCAATTCAAGAAAGCATCCAAGTACTATAAAAACGGTTATCAGTACAGTATATAGCATTGATATTATGTAGATGTATGAAGCTCAATTCGTACCTATAAGATAACATGAAATATTATGGACCACCGACATAGAGTTATTTTCTTCATTGCTGCATAAAAATGGCCCCAAGCAGTGACCTAGGACAAAACAGCTTATACATCATCATAGTAAAATTTAGTGGTCTGAAGTTTGAAGCCAATCTGAATAACATCTACCTCAACAAAGTAATAAACAAAATAACATAGAAAATAAAAGCAAGTGTAAAGGAATAAGGATATAGGGCATGCCTGCAAAAGCAGAAAGAATATACTAAGTTTCACTGTTGCACTCACCTTTAGGTTTTAGGGTTAGTGTGTTTCAGATGTAGAAGATGGTAAGAATGTATTGGTCTCCAAAATAGGAAGGAGTGAGGCTGGCACAGCATGACCTAGTCAAGGTTAATTAACACTCTTCTTCTCTAGCACACACTAACCAAATCTAGATCATGCTGGCAGCTTCACTTTTTCCTTTGTGACCCTTTCTCCAAATTGTGGAGATCAAACACTTGGGAAGATGGAAGTAATGGGAAACCTTGAACAAAAACAAAGTGACTGCAGTCAAGGTTTTTTTGCATTTCAAACAAGCAAGGAAACATAAGATATAAATCAAAGTTCAAAAGGCCAGTATTCACTATTCACCTTGAGTTTGCTTTTTTGGGAAGGGAAGTAAAGATAAGTGATTACTTTTACACTTATAGATATATATAAAAATGTCATCTCATTATATCTTAAGTATCAAATCATACTATCTTTTTTTTCCTGATTTGAGTATACCTAAATCTCGATTGTCGTAACTCTTTCTTTCTACGTATTGATTAATTTTGGTGGTGAAAATGTCTTGTTATTACCAAATTTTTCAAATGTAAATAGTATATTTTACAAGTTAATATTTGTCATATTTTGCTTTCGCCCCGATTTTATTAGATTCTGAGAATGATATACAAACTAAATGCATAATACAATCTAATATAAACACTTGTAATTTTGTATAGTCACCAACACCGTCAAACCAACTTCCAACAAATGTTGTTAAAATAAACAAGTAAAAAGAAAAAGTTCATAACTATGAGGAATAAGTGTAATATGCATGCAGGGGGTAAAATGTATACATAGTTAATATATTAATTATTATTTATTTAAGAATATTGAAAAAAAATTATGAATAATATAATAATATTGTAAAAAAACTGTTACAATGTTGATATAAATTAGTTCAGTACTGTAATTATGGGACACCATTTTTGGTATAAAAAATGGGGGTATGGGATCATAAGCGAATATAAGGATGGTGAAATTGGAGATCCGTGAGTAGATGAAAAGGATAAACAAAAATGTTAGCATGTGCACACTTTGTTTCATTAGTTAACCAATATAACATTATCAAATCCTTCAATTGGAATGGGAGTGGTAACGGTTTAGGAATATTATAAAAAGAGTAATGGGACAAATATTGTAAGATAGGTTGAATAGGAAAGAGACAGAAGCCACCTTGTGGAACAGTGAAACCAATAAAGGAGGATACATATTAACAGTACAATGAAATTGAATAGCACAGCTAAGAAAGTGTTATAGAGGAACAGGAGAAGCATGATATATAGGGTTCAGAATTCAGAATTCAGAATTCAGAAATCAAACACCCTTACCTACTTATATAGCTAGGACTTAGCCTCTTCTCTCAACGTGCCACCACAAATCATCATGTACTTTCCCATCAATGCTCTCAGATATAGATAATTATATATATACCAACCTATAACATATATGCATAAGAGTGTTTTACATTGGTTGATACGTTATTATACAACAAAATGCATTATGTACTATTTTAATTATTCTAGATAACTGTATCATGTTTATCCTTACTTGAATATAAATATTGATTATTATTATATTATATTATAAGAAGGTGAAGTTGTTGAATTAAATAAAGTGGTAGCGGACTAGGTCCTGTTGAGCATGCGTGATCAACCTCAGTTGTCAATTCATGTTACAAGTTATTTCAATTCAATGTTACTACCCAGCAATCGACAAAATAATAATACTAAAATACACATCCTTTTCTTTTCGTACTATCATCACAGTGCCAATACCTGATTTCAGCCGTTTGATTTTGATTAATTTCTCACGGTAAACGATGCGCACATGAGATATATAATGGGAAATGTTATATATCACCTTATTAAGTTAACTATTTTCAAAATTATCTTAATAATAAAAATGTAATATCGGGTAAAGAGTATCTATGATATTTTGAATAATAAATTAATTTTTTTTTGGTATATGACTTCTTCGTCTAACAAGTGTTGCTCCCAATAATTGAACATTTGATCTTTTAATTATCCCAAAATCCAGTGTTACACTATTAGACTAATAAGAATCTTTGCATGCGTTGTAAAGGTAAGTAGTTAATTTAGTGACAGCTAAGTTCTGTAAACTCTGATTCAAGCTGTGGATATAGGCTGATCATAGACCTGTAGTAACAAGAAGATATCGACAATCAAATTAATTATCATATTGCTTCTGCTTCAGATTCCATTTTTTTTATTTGCATTTTATATTTTGATTTGTTATCAGTTGCATGTTTGTGTTTACTCATGCAACTGTGAGATGTTCACATAACTATCTCCTTTTTAAATTTCTGATTTGGTTCACTGAAACAGCTTTATTATTCATTATTTTAGAGGAATTTTTTAGAGTGTAATATATTGACAATATAAAAATTTATATACCATTAGTGTATAATTTATTATTCTGTATTGCATAATGCTCCGGCTAGGGGCTCCAAATAATATTTTCATGAGGGCTATAGGCATTGATAGCTCTAACGCTCTATGACACCGTTCACATGACTCCAAGTGATATCCATAAAAAAATTTCCTACCTGAATGGCTGCATGCATATAACAGAGCCAGAGCTTCAACTACAAGTCCATTATTAACGTAGAGTCGTAGAGTGTAATCATACTAGTCTAACACGCAATATCTTTGGATTCATATGCATGTCTAGCTTAATCTACATTCCATGGCAATTTTTTTGTAGCAAAGTATAACGTACATATCTTATCAAAACATAACCGTGAATTTCTTTAATGAAGGTTTTGGATTTCAACCCACTTACAAGCCAGCAAAATGCTTCCAATCATCATGTGATCAACATTTATCCCTTCTAACTCAACCTTCCCCAACAAATGAAAAAAAAGCAGTTCACTCGCTTCTAACCCCATTTTTTCATCCTCTTGTACGACCAAATAACCATATAGACTCAAACAAGATGTACAAATCACATGAAATAGGTCTTCTAAGTTCTCTCCTTTAAGGGAAAAATGCCCCGATGTCACTATGGAAAAATAATTTCCTACAAAGGATAACACTCCCAGAAGCAATCACAATCATATCTAAACAACAATGGGCCTATCAGTCAAATCAAATTCCATTTCACCGCACGCCTATTACTATACAACTTAATTACACACTACAAGCTGCTGCACATATTTACATCAAAGAAAAAAACACGGATCCCAGCATAATCAAAATATTCTTCGCTGGTCACCCAAATTACAAAACCACAGGAACATGTACTTTCTCCTTCCCCCCCCCCCCCCCCCCCCCCCAGTATCAAGCTTTCTTTATATATGCTTCACCCACCAGAAGTAACCACGGGTACTACTCATGCATGTAGCTTCTTAACCCGCTGTTCCTGGGTGTGGTCACATCTTTTCCGTCAACCTTGATTGCCTTGTTTCGATCTAGGCCAGCATTCTTCTTTTGCATTTTTCACGAATTATGAACATGAATCTGGCTTTTAACAATTCTTTAGATTCACTCGGAATCAATTGTTAGGATTAAAAAATTAAAGGCTGGCCCAAAACTGAAGTCTTCACAATTAACCATCATCTATCAGTTTCACCCCGATTTGATGAAACTCGCAGACTGTCATCAGGTATTGTCCAGGAAAGTAAATTTCCACCAAAATCCCCACTTAATAACTGTTTCAGGTCAGTTGTGAGGTGGAGGGCAGTGACCGGATGCTTATGGAACTTAAGTACTTTGCGTAGGATCAACTTGTATTCTGGTTCTTTAGAACCATTATTTGAACCTCCCAACCCAGCAGAAGCTGAAGATTTGCTAAGGGAGCTATCTGGGTCTGAGAAGTGAACCATTTGCCACACCTTAACAGATCCGCTCTGATGACCTGTTGCATACCACTTTGTGTCCAGCCAATCAGAAAAAGTACTGCTTGTCACTGATAGAATAGAATCAGATGGCAGTTGTGATGTTTTGATCATTGCCAGGCAATCCCCATTAATACTCCAAACTGCCAGAAGAATACCAGCTGCTGTAACAATCTCTCCAGTCAATTCATTCACAAAAATTGCAGAAACTGGTGCTGGGAATTGTGGGAGCTGCCTTACAAATGCCATCGAGCTTAGATCCCATATAATAACTGTGCAATCATCCGATCCACTCACAATAAGCATGTATGGCTGGCTAACCTGAAGGCATGAGATTCTGGCTGTATGCCCACAAAGTGCCTTCTCCAATTTCATGCGCCGCAAGGCACGGGGACCAAACTTACTAACTCTCCAAATATTAACTAGCCCATCATCAGCCCCAGTAACCAGAACTCGACCATCATGGCTAACACCAACACACTGAATTTGATTACTTCCATGTAAATTCTCGTGAGTTGAAAGAAGTCTATCCTGCTCATAACTAATGAATCTCAAGCTACGGTCAGGAAAACTCCAAGCAACATATTTACTATATGTACTTGGTTTAAGCAAATTGTTAGATCCTGCTATGAGAATTTTATCATTGAAAGTAACAATTTGAGTGATAGGTGAAGAACTTCTGCGAATCTCATGTGGAACAAGATGACTGGAATATTTAAGAGGGTGGGGAGGAAGCTTTCTGTCAGTTCGCCTTTTCACGTGGGGCTTAAGGAACAGTTGTTTTGGTGTCTGCCCAAAATGATTAATTTGTGCTAAAATGGATGCTTTCATTGCAGGATCTGTAACTGAATCTATGTCCACACTCCCCTCGTATGTATAATGATAGAACACATTCACTGATTCCTCAGCGGCCTGTCCACAGTACAAGAAAAAATATATATTAGGAACACATTGGAAGAAATATAAATGTAGGTAAAGTTAGCACATTGGTTGAGAACATACTTATTGACCTAATCATACAGGCCAAGAGTCTTACTTCTGTCAATCTAGGTTAAAATGCATATGAAATTTCCACAAGTTTTGGGCAAGAATTTAATAAATAATATAACAATGGCAGGTAACTGCTCAATGCAAAACCACGGTGGTCAAAATCTTATCAATGTGAATGATTGCGTGATTTTATATGCCAAAATACAGGCAACCAAAGATAATAAAGTTGCAAATTAAAACACAACAGAACAGATGCAATAAAAAGACTGAGAATTATACAGAAGGTTGGGCAGTGCTAGAAATAATTTTATTT